GGCTATTGCACTTGAAAACATTTAATGATAAATTGGGCAGGCACTGTCTGTAGCATTCATAGGTAGGACATTCAGAGGTTAAAGTACATGACTGAGAGTTAGTCTATTTTTGATTCTCCTACTGGCCAGCTTGTATAATATTGGGTAAATCTTAGGATTTTTCTATCTCTTTTTCCAAATCTGTTAAAATAAGAATAGATAATACTTTGTTGAAAATGGTGTTGTAAGTCTAAATTCCTTGTAGAGAACGCTAAGATTTTTTTAATGGAAGATGTTATCAAAATGCAAAGTAATATTCTTTTCATCTTCAAAGCATGCTATATACATTTGCAATTCAACCTATTTACAAAGTGCTATTTTTCTGAATGGTTTGATTTTTCTATAGTATTTACTGATTATACAGGAAACTACACTTCATTACCACTGTATGTCACTCAAACAACATGTTGTACATGGAAATAATGCAACATACTTATATTTGGATTATAGAACATACAAACCTTTGAGGGTTTCATTGCACATTTGTTATATTGTATTTTTAATGTATCCAGACAGTGCTTGTATAATCATGTTTCTTCCCTTGAATCCCCTCTGTGCCCACATGTATGAAGCAAGCTTTGTAGTGACATTTATGAAGACCCCTGCTGGTCCTGAAACAGTAGAATCCTGCTATTTAGAGTGAACCATTATTCTAGTAGTTGAAGTGTTTGCACAAAGGTGACTATGTGGTTGGCTATTTCTTCCTTTCCTACAGTATACATGAAAAGAAAATCTTTATTTGAGCCTTTGATAGGGTCTAGTTGCAGAACCCTACTCACAAATATGGGTAAATGGTCTACATTTAGAAATTCTTTTCTGGGAAGGGAGATCATATTTTGCAATTTTGTCCTTTAACTAGTGAATTTAGTGCTTGCTAAGCATACTCACTTACCTGTCTTGGAAGGTACAGTCCACTTGCGGTGCACAGAATAGGTGCATCATAACCAGTCCCAACTCAAACTTCTCTGTGATGCCTTGCAAGAGTGCATTACGCTGTCTTGATGGAAACACCACTATGGCTAAGGAAGCAGTTTTGTGTTTGTGACAAACAGAATGTTGGTTTCAGCTATACCTACCCCAAATGGGGTCTAACTATTTCTAGTTGTGCTCATGTGTATTATGATGAAGACTCTTGTTCACAAGGGGCCAGATTCTGACACCTTTACTTAAAATAAGTAGCAATTTATTCTGAAAATAGACTCATAAAGACAACAGGATGTCTCAGAGACTACAGTTCTACTCAGTGTGAGAAAGGATATTAGAATTTGGCTCTGAGAACTGAACTAAGATCAACTCCAAATGTCCATTAGATGGTAAAACTTTCTGTCACTACCAAACTGGACTAGATATTAATCAATCAGCCTCAGTTAAATACTCCATAACTTACTACTGATTCTATTAATCATGAAGAATGTGCTTGTGTTTATGGACTTCTCTCTCAACATTACTGCTAAAAGTAAATAATATGATAATGGTTTTATAGTCACTGTCAGTTATTTAGATTTTGTGCAATGATAATATAACTTTCAGTAACCTTACTTCATGTTCAGTGTGTAATTGGGACTCCCTACCGTTGATCAGAAATTATATGTTAACCACAATCTCACATTATAAAGCCCAAGTAGTTCTGTAGGAATTCCACAGCTATGAGTTACAGAATTTTTTATATGAAATTTCTAAAAGGTGGTGTTAATGTGACATGTAAGACTTTTGATATTCTCTGCTATTGCAAAAGGGTTAACAAATAACAAAGAAAAAGGTAAAAAACCCAGCAATATGGTACACTAAATATCAAAAGTCTTTGATTATTGCATTGTAAAGGGGTAGTGAGAAAAAATTATTTTGACTTAAAATCAAAATAAATGATGTACTCACCCTATTCTTTGAAGTTATAATACTAAAAAATTCTGTTAAGGATTTCCAAAAGCTCTTAACATTCTTAGTAATCAATTATTTCATGTACTGAGTAATGGAATGCAAATACTTATTATTTCCTGTACTGAGTAATGGAATGCAAATACTTAAAGAATTAAATAGTTACAAAATGGGGTTTCCAAAAATGAGGTTACCCAGAAATTTAAAATTTTCAATAATAAATATGCACAAACACAAATAAATCAGTCCACAATTAATTGTTCAGAATGCTCCATTCCCATGTAGACAGTTTCAGATTTTTGTTTGTACAAATCCATTAAATATACAATTTACTGAATAATGGATTATAAAAAGATTTGTTTTCATTGGCTAGCTGTACCATCACAGCTCTTAGACACATTAGTGAATCTTTCAGATCTATTGTTCCATTGTGCACATTGTGAGGATATAATTTATTTTTTCATTTTGTGGTTCTATAGTGTAATTTAATAAGATTGTAAAGATTTTCAGATTTGTTACAATCAAATTATGATATTTTTAATTTCTAAACTTTGGCCTCAGAATATAATGGAATAACAGCATCTAAGGATTTTAACTGAAACTATTTTATTTAATGCCATTCAGCTGATTTACACAGTATGGCTAGCTGATAGGTTTCATTTAGGTATTACCTTTATAGGATATTTAAGAATTAGTCAGGCTTTAAGGTTTTCGATATTTAATCTTCCTTTAATAGTGCTGCTCTTGTCTCAGTTTTTAATTGCTCATCCTTGCACTGGAGCTGTGCCGCTCTGTTTTGTCCAGATGTTGTGAAAGATATTGACTTCACCCTATCAAAACTTCTGTAACCCTGGGATTTTAATTGTGGTTTACCTTGCTGACTGTAGATAATTTACTACAAAGGTAATGCTTTTGAATGCAATTCTTAATTTAACTCCCACTGTATTGGGATCTCTACAGACCTATGAATAAATTGTTTTGGCATCAAAATCACACATCATAATGAGGTTTTCATAAATGTATATTGAAGTTGTTTGACATCTTAATGAGGAATAGGTTCCACTTGCAATGACATCTTGCTGAGAGCACAGTAATTATATTAAATCTGTCTGAAGGTAATAGGAAACTAACATACTAAAACATATTTTTTTTTCAAAAAGAGAATAAACTAGAAATATGAAAAGGGTGTTTTAAAAGGAAGTAAAGTCTCAGTTTGTATTAAACCTATGGCAAAATAGTGTAGCAGGTACCAAAAAACCAAGATATCTGAAGAACAACCTAGTGCTTTTGGAATTGTTAGATGGATCATATATGCCTTAAAAAGAAGGCCCAAGAGAGCTGTGCTGGTTTTGCACATGCAAGAAATAATTACTGCACATTTAAAATATCATGCAAGCAGTTGCTGGATTGAGGCTAAGAAGGGGTCTAAATAAAATAGTGATAAGCATAAATATAAAGATAGATGCTGATATGGTCTATATATAATACATTTCATTTGCATTTAAACTGATAATGTGCATAGTTCATCCGAAAGACTAGAAATAGTTTATTTAAATCTGAAAATCAAGGCTTTTAAATTTAAAAACCTGAACAGCGATAGCAGAACTTTTGAACAGCATTCAAGTGTGTTCTGATCTGTGAGCCTTAGTATTGAAAAAAGTCACTCAAGAAAGGAACAAGATTTTGTCCCACTAATTCTGCTCAACTGCTTTACTGGTATCTTCTTGTGTCATTTTTCCCCCCCAGATTAAGAAATTAATTCTTAGTGTACCTTGCTCCTTTACTTAAGAACAGGGTTTTTTTTTAACAATATACTTTTAACTTGCTTGTTTGAGTAGTACTGTAATTGATTTTTAAAATTACAGATTAATAGGGCTACTCCTCTGAGTAATTTCTCTAGCTCTGAGACCTCTGCCCCAATCAGTGTACAACCTAAATTAAATCAGAAAAGTGGAAAAAGAGGAAAACCAATTTTTCTTCTTCTTTGTAGTGAATGGAGCTAAACTTAACCCTTCAGAAGTTTGCAATGGAGATGCAGCCTGCCTTTAATGAGCTACAGAGGCAGAGCTGACTCTCTAGGCCAGATATATTTTTAACGTAGAGTCTTTGTACAGTCTCTTTCCACCCTCGTCACCCCTCTCCCCCGTTGTGTGACTGTGTGGATGCCTCCCAACACCAATGAATGGTAAAACGTCCGGACTCTGCCTTTTGGATGGCGCTAGTGCTTCAGTCATTTATTTACACTAGCAAATCTCTCCCCTGTCCTTGTGAGAGCTGGGCGCGGTGGGTGCCGCTTTCCCCATCTGGTGGCAGAAAAGAGCTTGGCTCAGCCTCCCTGCAGAGCAGCCCGAGCGCCAGGAGCGTGGGAGGTTCTGGCTAGAGCGAGTGGCCAGAAATGGCTGCTCTGCCTAACATCACACACAGTCATCCCTCCTACGCCCCTTTTTTGCCCACCCCGCCGCCTCTTTCACTTTCTTTTTCTTGCCCGCCCCCGGCTCCTTCCCTCCCCGCGGCAGCCCGCCAGCGCTTTCACGCCTGACTGAGCCGGGGCAGCTCTTGCTCCGGGCCCGGCTCCTGTGCCGGTATTTTGAAAGGCTTCGTACCCGCTGCTTGCTGGAGCGGCTGAGACCACAGAGCTGGGAATCACCCTTCTCGTCGAGACTTGGGCTTCTCCAGGGACCCCGGCTAGGAGAGGCTGGGCTCCCCCCGCCTTGCCGGGGTGGGACACAGACACGTCCCGCTCCCTCCCTGCCTTCCCTCGGGGGAGACGCAGCCCCACTGCCCCCAGCCCTGCAGGGAGAATAGCCCCACTGCCTCCCCCGGCGCCCCCGTTGGTGCGGGCAGCAGCCTCTCTTCCTCCCCCCGAAGAGGAGTCGCGGCTCATCCACCCTCTGGCTTTCAGTGCGACAAGTTCAAGGCAAAGGAGCAGCAGCTCCCACCCACTCACAGGGAGGGGGGACCCCCCCCGCCAGCCCCAGAGAGGGGAGAACTCCCCCCAAGTCACAGGGAGAGAAGCAGCCCCCCCCCCAGTCAGACGGGGAGACCCCGCCAGTCATACAGGGGCAGAAGCACCCCGCCAGTCACGGGGCGGGGGAGGCGGCCCCAAGTCACAAGAAGGGCAACAGCCTCCCCAGTCACAAGGCGGAGAGAAGTAGTCCCCCAGTCACGGGGAGGGGAGAAGCAGCCCCACTCTGCCCCCTCCCGTCAGCGGGAGAAGCCGTCCCCCCCCCCTCCCGCCCCAGGCAGAGGGAAGCGGCAGCAGCCCTAGCACCGCGGAGTGACTGCGTTGCCATGGCAACTGACAGAGGCAGGCGGCAGGCAGGCCCCAGCTCCTCTGTGTGTGGGTGAGCGCCGGGAGCCGCCGCCAGCGCCGGACAGGCAGAGGCCGGGGGAGCAGAGTCGGGATGGAGGACGGTTTCTCCAGCTACAGCAGCCTCTACGACACCTCCTCGCTGCTCCAGTTCTGCAACGGTAAGGGGGGCTGGGCCCCGCGGAGCCGGGGCTGGCTGCCCGGGCTGCACCCGCGTTGAGGGGGCCTGGGGACGGCCGGCAGCTCGGGGTGCGGGAGCTGCCTTGGAAGCGCTGCTGCGCCCTGGCTGGCTGCAAGCGGCTGAGTGCGGAGCGAGGACCGGGCTCGGGAACCCCCCTGGCGCAGCCTGGCGGCGGGCTCTCCGGAGAGGGCCTTGCCCGGCTCTTGCGATCTTCGCCGCTGCTCCAACTGTGGAGCTCTCGCTTTGCACTCGGGAGAAGAGGGAGGGGAAAACTTTGCCCCGTCGCCCTCCTTGCCGCAGCGCAAAGCGGACAGACCATGGTTGCTGCTGCTGCTGTGTGTGCAGGATAGGCGGCCCCTGCGCAGAACTTCTTTGGCATCTGACTCGTTCGTGGACGTGGGTCTGTAACCACGATCTTCCTCCCCCCCCGCCAGAGCCTAAACGGGGACCTCCCCACCCCACCACTGTGTGTATGGAAGACCCAGCTCTGCATTGGAATGTGCATGATCCACAAGCAGCCACCACCTTAAAACCGTGTCCAACTGACACGTGTTTGTTTCACATCATCATGTCTTGTGTGAAGGAGGAGTGGGGGAGAGAGTTGAAAGTTGTAAGCAATGTGCTTTAGTTAAAGATTTTTCTCTCGGAGGGCTCGATGCTTGGTGTATTGGTGGAGATTTATTAAATTTGTTTACTAATATGATCCCAAGGGAGGCTATTTTTAGGATAAAGTGCCAGTTTGAAACTAAACTAATCAGTGAATATGTTCTGTAGTTTCTGACATTCCTTAGGAGGGATTTATTCAAATCTCAGTTGTGATTGGATGGCTTGCAATAAAAGAGCATAAAAAGAAGGAAAAGAGGAATAACTAATACCATAAAGAAACATTGATATAATTGGCCTTGAATGATGTTTGAGATATGCTTATTTTGTCTAACTGGTGTTTTCTGCTGCTCAAGGAAAATATTTAAGGTCACTTTAAGGTAATAAATAATTTTTAAAAATACGAATAATAGCATGCATCAAAATGTAAAGATGTTTGTCATTGCAAACCTTACAACCCAGTTTAAGAATTGTTTTTTCTTTGCAAATAATATTTTAAGTGTAAATGCAGTATTTTATCTCTAAAGCTTTACCAAATACTGTGTAAGCACATATATTTTATTCCTTCTTTCCTAGACTCCTTGTGATAACTTACCTAATTCTAACTGTTGAGGTATTCATGAAAAGGGTAAGTTAAGTTGTTTTAGGAGGGCAACTACTAAAACCAGATCTATAACTTCTGTTGAACAAATAGTGATGATGGTGATGACAAATTCTGCCTGCTTTTTCTAGGGAGAAGACTTAGGCTAGCAGGGAATCCTAATATTTGTGGAACATGTGACTATGATAACACTTTTCAGAATCTTCAGAGGGATAGCGGAGTTAGTCTGTAACTGGAAAAACTTAAAAAACAACAAATAATCTAGCAGCAACTTAAAGACTAACAAAACACATAGATGGTATCATGAGCTTTCATTGGTACAACCCAAACTGGGTTGTGCTCACGATAGCTCATGATACCATCTACATGTTTTGTTAGTCTTTAAGATGCTGCTAGTCTATTTGTTGTTTTTTAAACTTTTCAGAATGTTAAGAATATGATTCATGAGCCACGTAATATATAGCACATAGCAATACATCTATATATATATATACACTTTATTTTCTGCTTCCTTCAAAACATTAAACTAGCCCTTTTTGTGTTAGTAATATTAGTTTGTCTATTAGACTTTTACATTATGCTTAACTTTAGATACTAATTAATTCTGTTTTCCGGGAGGAAATAAATTATAGCTTAGCCTCTATAATAGCGAGTTGTTTTGCTGAGCAAAATATTTTGGTTACTTTCCATTTCCATCATTTGTGATATACATTTGTGAGCTGAAATAGCTGTCCCTTTAATAGGTTAAAGAGAATGTTATGCATTCAATATAAGTTTCCCATATTGACATGTGATTCTGGATATATCATTGTCAGTGCTGTAAATATGTTACAATACATGCTAGACAAATTCTAAAATCTCATTTCATCCCCTCCATGTTCATTGTTTGAAGATGGATAAATGATTTTTTTCTATAATATAAGACTTCTAGGTATTCTTTAAATTATACAATAGCTAATATCACAAAGTGTATAATAAGTAACTCCGTTTTATGTGCCATTATTGCACTAACTTCTGTTGGTGAGAGACAAGTTTTCAAGCTTATATAGACCTCTTCAGTGAGACAAACTTACATGATGAAAGACCTAGAGAATTGGACCAACATTCTCTGCCCTGAGGAGATCAGATAATTCAGAATGACCCATTCGGCTCATGAGAAAACAACAAAGGCAGAAGATGCCAATGGAGGTGCTCTGTTTGAAAGAGGAGAGGAAGATTGCTTTGTGGGTGTGCGGGAAGCTCTTGCATGCATAATGTATTGGTGTGTAAGAAGCTGAGAGTAGGGAAGAGAATAACAGGGAACAGTTAGAAGATTGGGGAAACCTAGACTGGAAGTAGCAGAGATTTGAAGAGGGAAAAAATGTGGTTGGAGTCTCAAATGAGTAGTAATGTTAGTTCGAACCAAGGGGTTTTATTCAAACTAACACAGCCCAGAGCGCAATTCATGGTTCAAATCAGCTGGCGATCGGAATAGCGCGCGGGCGAGATCATGCTAATGAAGTGCGGGATATTTAAATCCCCGCTTCATTAGTAATTTTGGTCGCCAACATTTGCATCCCTAGTTCGAACTAGGGTGCAAGTGTAGACATACCCTGAGAGAATGTATGCATTTATGTTAAGAGGGGAACACAATTTCAAAAGTCCTCATTTTGTATAGTGTAGCCTAGAGATGTGAATGTTTAACCGATTAAGGAAAAACTTAAACAACAACAAATAGTCTTGCAGCTCCTTAAAGACTAACAAAACATGTAGATAAGCTTCAGAGGAGTAGCCAAGTTAGTCCAGTCACCTGAAGAAGTGAGTTGTGCCCATGAATTCATGATACCATCTACATGTTTTAGGGAAAACTTAAAAAACAACAAATAGACCAGTAGACCATTAAAGACTAAAAAAACATGTAGATGGTATCATGAGCTTTCATGGGCACAACCCATATTCAAACTAACACAGCCCAGAGCGCAATTCATGGTTCAAATCAGCTGGCGATCGGAATAGCGCGCGGGCGAGATCATGCTAATGAAGTGCGGGATATTTAAATCCCCGCTTCATTAGTAATTTTGGTCGCCAACATTTGCATCCCTAGTTCGAACTAGGGTGCAAGTGTAGACATACCCTGAGAGAATGTATGCATTTATGTTAAGAGGGGAACACAATTTCAAAAGTCCTCATTTTGTATAGTGTAGCCTAGAGATGTGAATGTTTAACCGATTAAGGAAAAACTTAAACAACAACAAATAGTCTTGCAGCTCCTTAAAGACTAACAAAACATGTAGATAAGCTTCAGAGGAGTAGCCAAGTTAGTCCAGTCACCTGAAGAAGTGAGTTGTGCCCATGAATTCATGATACCATCTACATGTTTTAGGGAAAACTTAAAAAACAACAAATAGACCAGTAGACCATTAAAGACTAAAAAAACATGTAGATGGTATCATGAGCTTTCATGGGCACAACCCACGTTCAAATCAGCTGGCGATCGGAATAGTGCGCGGGCGAGATCATGCTAATGAAGTGCGGGATATTTAAATCCAGCGGTGGGTGAGGAGGCCACTCCAGCTGGGTTGGAGCAACCCCCCAACCTGTTCCTCCTTTAATTGGTTAACCAGTTAAACAGGATTTTACATCTCTAGTGTGGCCTAGGGAAAAGCAATATTTGAGGAAGGCTGATAGATGGAACTTGCCAAGATAATCAATGTGTGTTTCAAGGGTTTTAGTACTGAGAGGAAATTATTCATTTTAGTATTTTAAAAGAAGAAATAATGGGATATGCTAGCAGTTTAGAATTGAGGTGTGTAGAAACAAAAGAAAAAACAGATTCATGCACTAGGCAGTGTTAAAGTGTATTTGATGGTGAGGATAGGGCAATGATGAGAGCAATTAGAGAAAAGAGGGAGAGGAGAAGAAGCTGGAGAAAAAATGATCTTTTTCATCTTTATTTTGAGTTGTTTTGTTTGGTATCCAAAAACCTACAGTAAATTCTTTACACGGTTAAAGCAAGTACTCCAGCCTTTTTGTTTTATTGAATACAAGGGATAGACCACAGCGTGAGAATCACTAAGAATGGAAATATTAGGAGTCACATCTACTTCTGCTTTGCCACTAACTCACGTTGTGGCCTTTGAAAGGTTGCTTAATTTCTTTTATGCCTCAATTTCCTTACTTATGAACTGGAAGTAAATAGTGCATTCTTACTATAGTCGTGTGTAATAAATAAGTTTGCAAATTACCTTGAGATCTTCAGAAGACATCTCTGTAGATGTGTAAAATATTTAATTGTTTTAAAGTTAAACTGTGCATATGTATGTATGGCGTTTCTTTAAGTAACACACTATTGTTCCTCCTATTGATGTCTGTCTTGCTTATGTTGGTAATAAATTACATTAAGGCACCTTCTCATTAAGCAGAGCAGCTTTTATAACAAACAGACACCCATAGTTGACTTGGAATGTTAGAAATGAGATATTGGATAATGTTTCTCAGGCTTGGTTATGGATTAGAATAACTTTGCTATTATTCTTAGGAAGGAAGCCATTCAGTTTACCTATAATATGCAATTAATTACTGATTTATTAATTTGTTCTCTACGTTCAAAAGCAGCGTTGTTGAGTTAGTGAGAAAAATGTTCAGACCAAATACCATTTCTCAAAATAGAAGAGGAAGTGGAAGTAGTAAAATTGGGATAATGATTGTTAAGTAAATTTGTTCTTAAGCTTTCATTTCAGCCCTGTTACAGTTTTATACATTGTTTTGATAGGAAGAATAGTCCAGAATATGGATCCACAGTTACACACAAGAATTACACATCACCTTTCTTGCCACTAACAGAATTTTCAGATGCAAGAGTGAGCAGGGGTAGCTGTACGTAAGTTAGGGAAGTAATCAGGATTTGGGCAGAGGTTTGCAAACTGCATGGATCCACTGATGACTCTTCCATGTGCAGGTGTTGTAGTAAACACTGTGATCTACTGCAGATCCCTGGTACTGCAGTAATAACAATGGACCTGCTTAATGAGTGGTCAGGATACAGGTGATGGAATTCAGCTGCCCAGTGTTCCTATGTTTTGCAATAAGCCCATTTACTTAGGGTTTGCACAAGGTATGAGCTTCTATCCTTAAATCTTAATACAGCACTTTAAACATCAAGAGTATGTCTCAAATACAGACAGCTAGAGGGGGAAAGTAAAACTATCATATATTTATTCTTCAATTACAGCCTTTTTGCATGAAAATACACTTTGAAATGTGGAATCTATTAATATTAAAATTAATAAACTTTACCTCAAAAAATGTGGTGGAAAATACCTGCTGATACATTACATTTTTTTCTGTCCCATCCCTGTTTAAACCAATGGGAAATAATGTATTCATAAAACCTGAGTATCAGAAGAGTTAATACAGTAATTGCGATATTATAAAATAGACTTCCAGAATCTCTTTAATAGTACCCACAACCAAGCAACATACATAAAATATACTTCCTGCAATTCACCTTCTCATTAAATGCCTGTAGCTGAAGATGAGCCTTCTAGGAGATTGATTTGGCGACAGCCATGTTCAGACCCCGGGAACATTACCCTGCTAATGTCTCCCTCCCTTTAAACTAAACTACAACAGCATTGGATGGGTGAAGGAATTAGCAATGGAATATGGAGTCTATTGAAGTGGTTCTCAACCAGGAATCTAGCCCCCCTTGGAGCACTGTGAGCAGGTTTCAGGGGGACTCGCTGAGCCCCAGGGCCAGAAAGCCCAAGCCCCATAGTGTGGCTGAAGCCTAGAGCCCCGAGTCTCATTATCTGGGGTTGAAGCAGAAGCTTGAGCAATTTAGCTTCACAGTGCTTCCTGTGGCACGAGAACCCAGGACCTATTTGCTATTGCCTTAACCAGCCGTGGCTTTTATATGTGGAAAACAAGTTGTGTGGCAGGTGTGCTGTGGGGTTTCTATAGCATTTCTGGGGGGACCTGAAAAAGAGACAGGTTGAGAACCCCCTGATGTATTCACCAGGGTGTTCTCTGGTCTAAATATAGCAGTG